TTCCTTAGTGGAAGATACTGATATGGAATATCCTGCTTAGGAAACTGGCCTTCAAAAGCTGTTATCAAGCAAAAGCTGTTTTTGAGTTATGTGAATTTAAACTTCTGGAATGCCTTTAAATAGCAGACAGACATAATTACTCTGTTTTTAATTCTACTGTGATATTTTTTGTAACAAATATTAGCAAATCAAGTTATAGAAGCATTATACTAATGTAGAAGATCTGCCAAGAAAAATTAAAAAAGGAAGCCTAAGGCCTTTCCGCCAGTAGTATGGGTCAGGAAAACAACAACAGAAAGACGAAAAACCCCAAGGGCTGTCTTTACTTAGAGTAAAGCTTATAATTATTTAAACACAGAAAATGTTTTTTTGAAGCTCTGTGCCACTTGAGGTTTTTTTCCATAACCTGAAGTAGTTTTAATAGATGTCTATTTAGTCAAATTATGAATAAAATGCTTAATGAGGCCTTCTTTTTTAATTGCTTTTCATTTAAGAGGTTTTCTGATAATATAARAAATTGTGGGTTGTCAGTTCTTGTGAGAATAGAAGAAATCTGTGAGGTCTTATGTGTTTCTAAGTCAAACAGATGATTTTTCATGAATAGATGAAAATACTAATTTTTCCTTTTGCTGGAAGATCTCGTAAAGAACTTTCTACTAGTGCAGTTTTCTATCAGAATATGGGCTTGATACATTGCTGTAAAAAGCTTTAAGTTTTTATCTGTTTCACTTATTTTCAAGAGAAAATATTTATCAAAATACTTTATTMAGTTGAAACTGGAGTGTTCAAAAGGAAAAACATAAGTCAAAACTGAACATCTGAAAATGTCAAAATATTTTGTTTCAGTTAGTTCTTTCAGATCTCCTAAAATAAAATAGCAGAATCTCTGTTTTGTAGCAACTGTTGACTTTTCACTTCTCTTTAAAGGCAAATCTCAGAATATTTGCTTTTGTTCCTACATCAACATTACTTTCTGAACCCTGCTTATATATATATATGTGTGTGTGTGTGTGTGTACATGTGTGTGTGTGTGTGTATATATATATATATATATATAAAAGTTTTTATTGGGCTACTCCAACAAGGCATTTCCACTTACTTACCCACAGGCATTTACTGCGGCCATCGGGATGCTGGGACTGCAACAATTTGCTAACAAAATTCCAGTTTCGCTGTCTTGGCTCCCTTTTTAAACAGTCTTCTTGATGTCTCATTGATGTCTTCTTGATTTGGCGTGAGATCAGATGACTGGAAATAACTGCTATTTTTTTTCCCCCAAGGCCCAGATGCAGTATTTAAGACAGACTGTGTGTTGAGCTGAGCTTTAAGAATACAATCGCATGACAGAGATTACAGTCGTTCAGTATTTGTTTATCAATGGTTTCTACTTATAAAGGAGCTTATAACCCCATTATAGCTTACAATCTAGATATAAGAAATTAAAATGAAAAGCACCGACCAAAAATAGTCAAACAAGCAGAGGCTGCAGGTACTGTGCTTTCATGAGAAATGAGAGTATTTTATGAAATGTAAAGGAAATGGCTTCATAGAAAAACTGTTTTTTGAAACAACAATGGGAAGCTTGGGCTGCTGGGGAAGTGGAACAAAAGTTCTGTCTCTCTGTGACTAAAGGGCAGTTTGAAAATGATTTCTTATGGCAAAAAAAGGTATCACAGGTATAAGTTTAGAATGAAATAAATGATGTGCATATGTAGGCAAAGAAATAGTAACTACACTAGTGAAAAGAAAAGCCTACAGTCTTGAGCCTTTATAGCATTTAAGGCCAATGTGATAAGAGTACTTAAAGCGCCAATACAGCCTAAGAACTAACCCGTAGAAGTAATATAAGCTRTTTTATTTTGATAACATGACCTGTAAAAGCTAAAATGTCAATGAATGTGACATGCCACAAGTGAAATATTTGCTTTTTTTTGTGATTCCTTTTACTTATTAGGAGACTCATAATGTATCAATAATAGTAAAAGTAATAACTAATGTTGGTGTGATTTTGGTACACTTAGCATGTCATCTATATCAGAATCCATATCAATATCGGGATGTAGCATTTGCATCTAGTAGTGATTCTTTTTCCTGACACTGCCCAAGCTGGGTTTTACCCAAAAAGAGTGAGCATTTAAACTAGATCAGAGAACAGAATCATTTATTTCTTTTCTTTTCTTGGTTATCTTCTGACTGCATGTGTTCAGCAGTTGAGTGGATATTTTTTTGTCACAGGARCAGATGAGATCTTGGGAAGAGGTGCAACCAGCAGGTGGGGAGCACATTCCGTTGGAAGCTGCTTATGGCTGTGCTACTGTTGGAAGAAATAGCAGTGGAAATGCAAAGAGTTAGATACTTGATATATAGGGTGGCAAAAAAAMCCCAGCATTTTGGCTCTGATTCAGATGTCTCTTCCTTCCTATAAACAATAATCTTTGCTTGTTTTGAAGATTACACACTCTAACTCTCTTTGCACTTCTTACCACGGCTAAATAATAAAACTCCCTTATTCTTGTTGGAACTAATATCACTTTTCTTTTCAAGGAAACAGACTTAGTTTATCCATTGTCATAAAAACTGATGCCAGAATGAATTCAGACCATAACACAGTGGGAGTATTACAAAGACAAATGATTTCACAAGAAAGATATTTGCATTACAAAGGCATTTTTTAAAATGTATTATAACTTGTATTATGAATGAGCCTTGAAAAGAACCCTTTGTAAGGAATAAAATCAAATGATGTATGGCATACCTGTGAAAAGGAATGATAAAACGGTGTGAACCAAGATATAGCTCAAATGGAAAGACAGCAAAGTACATGTACAGGGTGGCCAGGAAATCTGGAATAAATGCACAGAGCCCTCCATTTTCTGAGGTGCAGAGCCAACAAATCCACAACAGGTATTTAGCTACYCACCCAAAGTAGCACAAGATCAAGGCTAGTAAGGTATCAAGTACAGCATTTAGATGAGTAACTGTATGGGATAATGCCTCATCACAGAAGGTGTYGGTGGATCTAATTGTGGCTCTGCCATCACGTAATGCTTTTGCACTGACCAAATCACGTGCGCCTTGCCTCAGTTTCACCGCACAATTAGATTGCTGGTTTATTTAATCTTTATTAATCTTGCAGATTACCAAAAGCATGTGCCTTTGAGGATTAAATTTTAATCCTCAAATCGTTTAATCGTTGCAAAGCAAATGAGCTCTAACAAAAATTAAAAACCAAACTTCAATTAATACAGAAGTAGCTAATTACACCGTGTTCAGTTTTATTTCCAATTAACCCTTGGGAGCACTCCGAAGAGGAAAGCAACAAGACCTCAAAGAATCAAAAACGGGGAGAGGACTGGTGATAGAAAAAGGCCACAGACTGATGTGCAATTAGGCTTGCCTGTAATTGCTCCATCTTCAGCGGGCTGAAAGGAATACAATGTCCAAATAAATAATAGAAAGACGTGCTACATTAGAATTAGGAGCTTTTAAACTAAATTATGAGGCATTCTCATTTACGCTGCTTGGAATTGTCACTTAAGGATTTGTCACAACAGCTTGAGCAATCATCTCTGTCAGGACTGTAAAAGTTAAAAGGTTTAATTTTGCTTTGTATTCTTGCTAATTACTATATTGTAATCCCTATCTTCTTCCAAACTGTTATTTCAGGGGGGATTTCTGCGGGAACAGAAATGTTGTTTAATAGGACAACAGTAAAATAAATCCATCTTGTACTGACTGCTGGCCTCGCACTTGAGCATTCCCTTGAACGTCTTGCTCGCAAAAACACCCATCTAAATCGCYTGACTCGCCGCCCGCGGCGCCTGCGTCGCAGTTTCGTGCCACGGGTTTAGCTTCGAGGCGAGTGCCCGCGGGCATCCTTGGGGTCAAGCCCTCCCCGACCCTCCCAACGGCCATAACGGTCGCTTCGGGCCACGAGGCTGCCGTTTCCCGCCCTGCGGCGGCCGTTGACCGTTGCCGAGGCGGCCGTTGGCGAGGGCCGCGCCCGCACGGAGCGGCGCCCCGAGAGCGCGGCGGCTTCGCCGGCGGCCGCCGCGTGCTTTAGTCCCGCTCCTGGCCCGGCACCGGCGGGGAAACAATGACTCGCCGGTGCCCRCGGCGCCGCTCGCGCCGCCGCCGCCCTCTCACGTTGCGGGGGCCGCGGGGGGCTCCGCGGCGGGGACTCCTCCCGCCCCGGGGCTGCCCGGTCCCGGCCCCGTCCTCCCCCCGCGCCGCGGGGCGCCACCACCCACCGGCGGGAAAGAGGGCGCGGGCGCGAGCACCGCCTCCGGCGCCGCCCTATTGGCCAGCGTCACGGCGCCTCCCGCTGCCATTGGCTGCGGCCGCCGCCAGGCAGCGGCCGCCCGG